AAATCTCAAACCGGCGCACTTATGTCGCATCCACAAAAAGTCCCGAGCCAATATATACGTGCCACATTTGCCCTAATCTCGTCATAAGATTTCGGTAGATTTATCATAAGTGTACCGAGCTTAGAATTTTTGGGGTAATATGGTTCGGCTTATCAATTTATGAGTTTTTGTGACGTGAAAATTAATTTGAGATAAATATATTATGGATATATCAATTTGAGATTTTCTATATTTGATCGGGATCCTGTAAACCTCACATTCAATGTACATCTCTTTAGAGGTTATCCAAGGTAAGCATGTCCCATTAGAGATATCTCAGGGACCGAACCGACCGATTTTAAGTTGGTTCTAGGGTCAAAACTTTTATAATTACAATTTTAGAAAAACATTCAAAGTGATTAATTTGTGGCTTAGAGGTTAAGGCATCGATTGATTTTTTAAGCAAATTTTTTTAAAAAAAAAAAGAAAAGCAAGTTAAAGCGGGTAGATATTAATGGAGTAAGAGAAATTGTAAAAGGAATGTGCGAAGCACAAACAGACCTGCAGGAAGCTTAGACTCCCCCTCTTATTATCTCAGACGCTGGAGGCTACTATACATGTCTACCCGAAGATAACCAACTGAAATTGACATGGTGTCTACCTTCACCACCCAAGAGGCCTCAAATTTCCTCTAAAAATTTTTCTTTCCTAAAGAGAGGGAATACGAAGAGAACATTGGAACGAGCTTCCAGGGAAATCACTTCCTTATATTTTCTTCTTGAGCCTTTTAAGGTCTTGCTCAGGACCAATAGCGGGTAGACATTAATGGAGCAAGAGAAAATGTAAAAGGAAGGGGAGATAATGCCGTCGAAAAACGACAAAAGCGTTTTGGGGTCCCACGAAAGTGACGGGTGCGAAGTGGTCGCTCCGACGAAAGTCGCCACTTCCTTATCCACATTTTTGTACCCGAGAATCGACAGCAACTTTGGATATTGTCGCCTAACCACCGCCCGCACAGACGTGCGATGCTCGCACGATTGGACAGTGGCTGATGTTGTTGGTGTTGTTGTTTGAATTGATGATTCTTCTTCGTCTTCGTGTTATTGCTTTCTTGAGGAGGAAGTTGTGGTTGTGGGGAGGAAGATGGGACTGAAGGCGACCATCAGCCATCACACGTTCTGTACACTGCGATTCAGCTGCTCTTGTGAACTGATCTGATGATGAAGAAATAATGCGATTACGGATCGGATGTCGTCCCCTGGCTTTACACGACTTGTAGCATCAATTCGAGCCACGAAATCGCATCTATATTTGGTTAGACAGGCACCCCCTTCTTTCGATTCTCTTGTTTTGTTTGCCGATAATATGATTAGTCATCGACGTGGAAAGCAAATTCTATCCACCGTTCCTCGAAATTCAAGTCCGCAACCTCGATTTCTCCGACTCCGAAGGAACTTTTTTTCTTGAAAATATTGCTCAAGTGACAACCTAAAAAAAAAAAAGGGAAAATTTCAATTAAGGACCCCAAGTGGGGTCAAATTCTCAAAAGAGGGCTTAAAGTGAACATAGCGTTAAATAAGGGCGCGAAGTGCGTCAATCAATCTGAAATAAGGGCCGAAGTCGAAAAATCTCAAATAAGGGCACGGGTCACCGGCCGGCCAAAATGCCCGCCGGCCGGCGAGAATGTTACTATTCCGGCACCAGAACAGTAAAATTTTTTATTTTTTCCTTTCTGTTTTTCTTTTTCAGTTTTTTTTCTTTTCCTTTTCCTTTTCTTTTTTTTTTCTTCTCTTCCTCCGCCGGCCATAGCCGGAGCCGGCGGAGGACGCCGACCTCAGGCGAGGGCTCGACCTTGCCGACGTCGAGCGAGGCCGGCCTAGCCGTTGCAGGCGAGACCGGCCTCGCCCGATGCCGGCGAGGTCGAGCCCTCGCCAGATCCGGTGAGGCTCGACCTCGCCGGCTGTCGGCGAGGCCGGCCTTGCCGTTGCAGTGGCGAGACCGGCTCGCCCCGACGCCGGCGAGGCCGAGCCCTTGCTGAACCGGGCGAGGCTCGACCTCGCCGCTGCCGGGCGAGGTCGAGCCTCGCCCGGATCCGGGCAAGGGCTCGACCTCGCCGGCTGTCGGCGAGGCCGGCCTTGCCGTGTGGGCGAGACCGGCCTCGCCCGACGCCGACGAGGTCGAGGCTCGACCTCGCCCGACGCCGACGAGGTCGAGGCTCGACCTCGCCGGCAACTGGCAAGGCCGACCTCACCCAGCCCAAGCGAGGGCGGCCCTCGCCCGACGCCGGTGAGGGCGGCCTCGCCTAAGGCCGGCGAGCTGCGCCGACCCCGGCTATGGCCGGCGGAGGAAGAGAAGAAAAAAAAAGAAAAGGAAAAGGAAAAGAAAAAAAAAACAGAAAAGGAAAAACATAAAGGAAAATAAAAATTTACTGTTCCGGTGCCGAAATAGTAACTTTCTCGCCGGCCGACGGGTATTTTGGCCGGCCGGCGACCCAAGCCCTTATTTGAGACTTTTTGGATACTTCGGGTCCTTATTTGAGACCGATTAGGCACTTCAGGCCCTTATTTAACGCTATGTTCACTTTAAGCCCTCTTTTGAGAATTTGACCCCACTTGGGGTCCTTAATTGAAATTTTCCTAAAAAAAAGTAGGTGGTGTAGCAGATTCATCGGTATCGGGGTTCAAAGAAGCATGTAATTACACACGTCGAGCAAGCAAATGCGCGAGCACTTTCCCAAGTTCCCGAGGATCCGAATCTCAGATATTGGTGTACCGTCAGGTCGCAGACACAAAACGACATTTAAAAGTTTTCGTGCGGCACGGCATTCGCGTGAGAAACGCGACGAATTAAGTAGTATCGGGACAATTTTTTAGAAGGGTACGGGGTGCAAGTATATTGCTTTATAGGGCCTTTGGTTTATTAGTGGGTGTTTGATGGGGAGAAGGATTAAAGATTGAACCCAAGATCTTGGAACTATACCGTCCTACTTTGTCGGCCTTTTCCTTTGCTTCTTTATTGAACCTTGAAATTGAAGCGTTGTCCCCACATGGCATGTCTCTCTCTACCCCCTTCGAATGTCGTGAAAAGAGAAAGGTGAGAACGGTTGAGTAAGGTTTGTACTTTCACCATTTACAAGTTTAGAATACCAAAACAATACATCCACCCGCGCATGGCCGAGTTGGTGAGCGCTTTCCTTCCCTCAGAGAGGTTCTGGGTTCGAATCCCCGTTCGGTTTCGTAATTTAAGTGGGGGCCCTGGTGGTGAGTTGCTGGGCTAGTCTCCCCCGAGGTATAGGCGCCCCGATGACCTATGCGGGCTCGTCCCCGGGGAATGGTGGAGGATCCTCGGTTACCAAAAAAAAAAAATAATATCAGCTTTTGACTCTTATGGACGAGCAATAGATTTAGTCGATAAAAGTGAAATTTGATGAAACAGTGAAAAGAATAGTCACCAACTTGATGAGTAGCGATAATTTCGTATATTTAAGCTCTTTCAGATTTCGACCAAAAAAAAAAGCTCTTTTAGATAAATGTCGACAACTTAAAGAGCATCGACAATCATTAAAGTTATCGAAGCAAATGTCAGTTGTTTGAAATGAAGTCATTGACATCGACATTGACATGTAACTAAGGGTAAGTGGTTCAGGATCGGTCGGCCCAAGTTTTACCTAGAACCTATTATATTGGAACCGGGTCCCTAGATTTTGAAAGTTTGAACCTACCCTATATACTCTAAAACCTGAGATCTGCCCTGTCAATCGGTTTCAGGATCTACTAGGAACCAACCAATTTCTTTTTTTTCTTTTTCATTTTTGTCCTCCTTTTTATTGTTTCATATTTAGTTAAGCAAAATGAACCTAAATTATAGGACTTCGGTCCTTAATCATCCATGAAAAATTGTTCCTAATTCTAACCACCCGAAATCAAAAGAAACAACAAATATAATTAATCACTTAATAATAATTTTAAATTAAGGCTCCGTTCCTAATCCGATTCTTCAATTCCCGGTTTGGTTTACCAAACCGCACAGCATCGATTCCACTTTTTTTGGAACTAGTAACCGCAGGAACTTGGGACCGTGCTTGTTCCTATGGCGTGTTTAGTCCGATTCGTGGTTCTACCTTGAACCGATGCTCACCCTTAAATGTACCTACCTAGTAGCGATATTTTTGGATATTTAATCTCCTTCTAAATAAGTATTGTTGTAACTTCTTGTAAATTTAGTAACCATATGGAGATGAGAAGTCGTGGCGAAGTGAAGATACGGAGATGTGAATGATTGGCTTGACTCACGTTTCATTGGAAAATGGTCGGTCACAATGAACCAAATCTTGGAAAAATTAAAAGTGCAATCAAGTCAAGTCGTGCAATCGAATCTAAGTAAAGTCAATTCATTCGGCACGCGAGTTTTGACTTGAAACTGTAGATTCAAAACTCGATACTCGGCTCAAGTCGAATCGAGCTTTTAATCTTTTATGTATTCATTCATATCTACAAGATTACTTTTTCTTGGCTCGAATTCAAGTAAAAAGCTTGTTTCAAAACTCACCAGATCAACGAGGAAACGAGATAAACGCAGATGATCTTTTCGCGAGGTGTGGAGCAGCCAATGCTCCATGGTCGCTGCTTGACCATGTCTTGTCCCGTTCCCCCACCAAATTCAATTCATCATCATCAAACACTCTCAGTCAAAACGCAAGTGGCACGACAAGAGAAGATCTTCCCCCTTTAAATTAATCAGAAACGGGGAAAAGTGAGCAAAGCTTAGCAGATAAGGACGGGGGATCATCGCTCTTATCAACTCAACTCACCACGTCCACATCAAGAACCTCATCTGGTTTTTTCTATCTTTTATATCAAGTTGAAGATAAACCCCGGTCCTGAACCGGTCATTCCATATGCCGGGACAGAGTCGGATCGATAGAGATATGTTTCTTTAATCACCCTCTGAACTCGTAATCACTGTGCTAATGATGTGACTAATCCTGCCACTGTAGTCCGAACTACGAAGCATGAACAGAGTAGAACAGAGCACACACACGAAAAGGGAAATCAGCATTTATAATCCGAGAGAATGAGATAATACAGAGAGATGTGAAGGACTTGACAAAAAACGATAATCAACAAAACAAGCCCCAAGCGCCACAACCCACCCACCAAGATCGATCAATCCTCCTTCCACGTTCTTGTTTCTTCTTCCTATACAGAATCTGCTGCATTTGCGTTGCAAAATACTTAAGAATGCTTACTAAAAACTTCATTTACAGAGAGGGAAATCGAGAGTCATCAGGACCACAAAACAGAGACCATAAATCTCTCTCCCGCCAACCAATATTTACACCTTGAGAAGAAGGGTAATCATCAACAATGGAAATGAACACGGAGATATATTCACACATCGAGTCAGATTTGAATCGCAGGCCGACCGATTGCTGAACCGCCGACCGATTGCTGAACCACCCACCAGCCCAAAAAATCACTTCTCAAAAAATTTCGAGCTGAGTCGACCAGGGGAGGACTCAGAAGCTTCCGTCGCCTTCACATGACCAGCTCAGAGACCCACCCCACGTCCGGACCAGAACCGGACCCGAGAAGGTCGGCGCCGTCGAGGGAGTTCTCCTTGCTGAGCTTGGCGTACATCTTGGCCCTCAAATCTCTCCCGGACTGGACCCTCTCCATCGGGGGCTCCTCCTCGCAGCGGCGATGGTGAGCCTCCCACAGATCGAAGAGCCCACCGCCAAGCTGCCCGTACCGCGGGGAAGACTCGGCCCTCGGGGTCGAGGGCGCCGCGAGGTAGCACCCGGGTCGGAGCGGGGACCCAAAGAGGGACCCCCCCTTCTGCCCGCGCGGGCTCATCTTCATCTTGGCGATCTGCATGCTCCTCATGCATGCCACGAGCTCGCTCACCGAGCCGGGCGACCCGCAGCAGCCGCGGTGGTTCGGGGACACCGGGGGCGAGTTGGTCGGGGGCGAGATCGAGGGCGAGGTAGAGGTCAGGATCGAGGTCGGCGACGACGATACGAAGGAGGCAGACCAGGGCTTGGTGAAGTAGGAGTCAAAGGCGGCCGCCGCCGCCGCAGAGGGGCGGACAGGGGACCCGAATTCGGAGTCCGCGGCGCTCCTGGGGCTGTGCTGCTGCTGCTGCTGCTGCTGATGCTGGTGCTGGGTGGTGGGGAGGATCCTGAGCTGGTCAGGGGAGTGGGCGAAGAAGCAGACGCGGCGGCGGCAACTCTGCCCGTCCTTGCACGCCTGAGTCCTGTATCGCTCCGGGTGGAGCCAGCACTCGAACACGCCGTGCGCGAACTCGCAGGAGTCGCCCTTCTTGCACGCACCTGCCAAAAAAAACCGAGAAATCCCAGTTGAATAACAAGGAACACAACCAAATTTAATCCCGCAAAAAACCCAAAAGTTCGACAAGAGATGCGCAACAACACGCGAAGGATCGAAACCAGAGTCGACATTTTGTGCCAAAACCATCATCATTTCCACTCAAAATGAAAACCGATGAGAAACCAACCAAAAGATTTCATTTAATCTTCATCTGGTAAAATTTCAAGAACGGTGCAAACAAACGTGAATGGGCTAACGCAGAAACACCTCCGAAAAATAAAAAGGCAAAACAAAACCGCCCCCACATCTATGGTCCAGCCGGAAAATCCATAAAATAATCCAAAACGGGTAAAAAAAAAAATTCAATCTTTTTTAATCAAATCGCCAGATACCAAAAATGGGTCACCTGGGCAGCTCCTGAATCCAGATAAAAATCTGCAGATCCGAACAAAACTACGCGAGAAGATACAGCTTCTTCTTTTTTATGCATCGCGTATTGTTATTATTGTTATTATTATTATTTTCCTTACCTTTGCGGAAATCAGGGCATGCAGTGCCGGAGTAGAGGAACCGGCGTGGGTCCCGGCGGCGCGCCTTCTCGCCGGGGTGCGCGTAGGGGCACTCCGTCCAGTCGTGCGACCTCCCGCGCGCGCACTTCCTCACCTTGAACTCGTACATCCGGAACTCGTCGCACCCCAGCACCCCGTCCTCCCCCGTCCCGCCCCCATCCTCCTCCTCCACCTCCTCCTCCTCGACGTTCGACGGCAGGTACCGCCGCAGCGCCGACAGGTCGTAGCGGCACTCCGCCCCCGCCCCCGCCCCGGCATTGCCGCCGTACCCGGCGGTTGGGGAGTAAGGGGAGTACGGCCCCCCGCGGCCGGAGGCCGCCGCCGCCGCCGCCGGGTCGTCGAGTGGGTCCCACGCGGGGATCTGGACGGTCGGGGCGGAGCGGCCGTGGTGGTCGCCGGTCATCGTCATCATCATCATCTTCGTACCCTTCTTCTCCTTCTTCTTCTTCTTCTTCTTCTTCTTCTCGATCTTCACTCGCCGGACATGGAGTCCCAGTTTGGTTGAGTGCAAAGAGGCAATGCGATGCTGAGTTAGGAGGGGAGGGGGGCGGCTTTCCTTTTATGAGAGGGTGGAGCTAACCGTGGTTGGGTTGGTTCTTGACCGTGGTTCCGTGGGCCTAGAAATCTACCGCCTCCCACTTCCTACTGCGGTTAAGATATTGCGGGGGGCGAGCGATCGGGTCACCGGGGGGTCACGGTGGTTTTGGGGACACGTGGAGGGACGGGATAGGCGGGAAGCGTGACGGGCGGGTGAGGTTGGAGGAGAGCCTGTGGATAAGAGAGAAAGGGACTGCTGCCGTGGCACTCGGATTTTATAGGGGGGAAAGGGGCGGGTTGATGGTTGTCGAAATCACGGGATAAACGGTGGGAGGGTGGGAGGAGGGATGTGACGTGGATACTGGGGTATTAAAATTAAATTTTAAAAAAATTAAGGAAAGTTAATTTAGTAAATAAATACATTTCAACGGTGGTTAGGTTAATTAATTAAGGCCCTCCTTACGTTTTTTTTTTCTTATTTATATTTTTTGATCCGGTCCGGCCCTTACTGTAGGATTGATCGGTTCCCGTTCCGGACCGGTTCCCAGTTTCCTGAACCGGCGACCGAACCGACTGGCCGGTTCGGTCGGTTCCTGATTCGGTCGGCCCGTCTTAGTCATCCCTACCTTGTTGAGCACCCGATTAATTCGCATTTGATATAGTAGGCGATTGATCTAACTTTGATCACAATCGGTGGCTAGGGCAGATAATTGTGCTGTCGACAACAAACATATTTATCATCCGAATAATTATTTAAGGTGTGTTCATCTCGCCGAAAATAAATAAATTTGGACACATTTTCCTAAAAATGATGGCTCGAATCGCTTACAAAAATGAATGGGTGAAAAATATTTTCATCGTCCACGAAGATATTTAGGCATAAATCGTTATCAATAATGAAAATATTTTCATTAACTAATCATTTCAAGAGATATAAGCGATCATTTTCAGGAAAATATTTTCATGAAACAGACGGACCCTCATATTGTCCACGAACGCATTAATTCTTGTCGATGAATCACAAACTTGGCAATTTCTCTTCTTCTTTTTTGGGGGTTAGAACAAACTTTACATCCCAACTAAACTCTATATCAAAGGTTATTATAGAGAAAAGAAGATGTGGTTCTTATCCTAAGAAAAGCTCAATTTGCAAGCTTGTGAGATGCGTCACTGTCAGGTATGCGAGTTCACGTCAAACTCCATCTCGAATTGTTACGAAGCATAATGCTGAATACTACGAGGGCAAAGACCCTAATCGCAATCTTACCATTTATAAAAGCCTATCCAACGTGCTCGATTATCTATATCTAGTGGGTTTTTCTTTGGTCGGCATATCTAGAGGGTTGAAAAAAGGGTAAATTTACATAATGACAATGAACCGTTTTGCACGTTTTGATGAGATATTTTTGTCCTTACCTGGAGTCTTTTTCAGCCAATTGGTGAATACATAAATGCAATTTGACTAAAAAATATGTGATTTCAACACGTGAATTTTTGTTGAAGACATTAATGAGAATCCAATGTCGGACGAAAGATCTCCATCTCAAATGCGAAACACTGTAGAAATAGAGGGAAAAGGATAATGTGTTAGCCAAGAATTTTACAAATAGAAGTAGTTTTGGAAGAAACAAAAGTTCGAAGGAGGTCAAATGTGGAAGTGACTGTCGAGTTTTTTTTTTTATCGTGACTGTCGAGTTTTTTTTTTAGAGTTTAAATGGTCAAATTTTTTTTTATCGAAAGAAAGATTCCATTTATTTCTCAGAATAATACTTAAAAGGTACATAAAATTTTCAAACTTAGCAAATCCCAGATAAGTGCAGAACAAATAGATAGAAGCACACTCTCATCCCTCAAGAACAAATATGCTATCCCAAATATTCGGCAGCCGATCACCAGATTCAGTGATGAGCACATGGCTTGCGGTGTGTGTATAGGTTCGAGTTCTCATCGTCATTGTGGTGCAGAAACACCAATATTAATATGTTGAAAGAACACACATGTAAGAGACTCCTAGATCTATATCTAGAATTAATTTGAGAGTGTCAAACCCTCAGATCTATACATAAATCTAAATCTAAATTGAGAGAAGAGAACAGCCTAATCATGAAAAGGTTATGGAGCCATGTTAGGAACATCCCCGTCGGTGACTATTGACTCGACGAATGGCCAAACTAATTTTCACGTTCACCCAATATCAGTTGCAAAACAGATCGAGAGAAAAAAATAAAAGACAATTAAAGAAAAGAAAAAGAAAACCAAAGACTAAGTAGGCTTTCAGTTTCAGGAGAGCTTCAAAAGAGGGAAGAATTTTTGGGAGACGAGGAATTTGCAGAGAGAGTGAAAGAGAAAGAATGAAACCCTAGCTTGAATGGTCAATTCTAGAAGTTTGATCGTATCACGTTAGCCTTTAGTAAAGCGACTAGTGTTGATATTTAAGCTTGTTGCGCGATTAATTTTTATCATCCTACAACATTATAAGCTAATAATAAATTTCACGACTTTAATTGCACTGGGAAATTAAAAAAAAAATTGCATTATTTTCACTTTTTTACCACCATACAAATTCTTTTCCGAAAAGAAAACATTGGAATAACATTATGCTAATTTTTTAATATGGAAAAGAAACGTTTACTTAAAACTTAAAAAATGTAAAAGAAACTGAGAGAAGCATCCTAGATTTCTCACATAGGATGCTGGGATGAGGTTTATTGCACTATAAAGATAATTAAGTAGTTTACCAAAGTTTTACTTTCTAAATAGGGAAGCGGTAACAAGGTGGATGGTTACATTCATTTGTCTTACCTCGCCCTCCTTTTCCTTTGATCAATTTTACCTCTTTTCCTCTTTGATTTATACTTTGAAGGAGGAAAAAAGAGGGATTTCGTAATTGCTTTAATGGAGAAAACACGAAAGTGAGACAAATGGGCATTTTGTCAAGGCCCGTCATAGTCATTGTTTATCGTGGCCTATATCTCTCTCCGATTCGACGGCGATGAGATGTGGCTCGTCATTGTCAAGTGGAGCACGACGACACTGTTCATCTCCGTCGGTAAATCTTGCACATCCACTTAAGGAGGAGGAGGAGATAGGGACGAGGCATGGAGAGGGAGAGAGAGAGAGAGGAGGGGGGGATTTGGGGTGGGTGTACTCATCGTGAGGAGAGAGAGGAAGTGAGGTTTTTACCTAGTGAGGTTACTAGCAAGGTAAATAAATATATATATATCGTTTTTTTTTTAGTGGTCCACGTAACCTTTTGCCTAGATACAGTACGATTGTGTGGGATTACCGTCAAATATTCTAAAAATTTAAGCTGTTAGATGAATGCATGATTTAATATTTAGGTATTCTAACACTCCCCCTCATGCTTAGCCTTGTGTTTTTTGCCTAGTGCTAAGTATGGAAATATTTCACTGGGAGGTAAATAGAGAGCCTGAAAAGATTTGAATTCAGCGCCTCGATACCATTAAAGATTTTGTGGAATCACTGCCAACTATTTTTAAAGTTTAAACTGTCAGCTAAAAGTGTGGTTTAACATTTAAATATTATAACAAATATGATGATGAGCTTTTGAAAATCACAAATAAGCAGATAATCAAATGAGGGCCTCGATATAAATATATATTCGACTACATCATCTTTTTAGATTAATTTCATAAGCAGCCCTATCGCGCATGCGTTTGCATCATTCGATTAATTGAATCTAATCGACAAGGGAAGTAAAATACACGTACTTTTTATTTCGGTTCGCTCGACTATCCTGCCGCCGTTGGATTAGCTCGCTGAAACTTCCTACGCGCCGTCAAAAGCTAATCACAAAATTTCATCCCGAACCATCCCACTTTATCACCCAAATTATACATAGAAATAGAGAACCGCCACCCCCATGAAGATTCATCATCACATGAAATTACCAACCCTCGAACGCGAACCGCGGATCTGACCGATGTTTTCCTCGGTCGCGGGTTGCCGCAAGCCGTGGGAATCTACACGGGCGAGTTGCTCCGCTCCGACTCGACGTCCTTTTGACTCGATTTTTATTAGGGGATAATAACACAAACAGTCCCTGAACTTTGGCTCAATGTGAAATTTGGTCCCTGAACTTTTAATTTGTTCAATGTAGTCCCCGAATTTTAACCCAATGTTCAATGTGATCCCTAAATTTTCAATTTGTTCAACTTGATCCTTGAACTTTTAGTAAATGTTCAATTTAGTCCCTGAACTATATGAAAATATACAATATAGTCCCTGAACTTGAATTAATGGAAGAACTACGTTGAGCATTTTTATAAAGTTCAGGGACTTTATTGAATATGTATCAAAAGTTCAGGGATCATATTGAATAAATTAAAAATTTATGAATCATATTGAATATTGAGTTAAAGTTCATGGACTATATTGAATAAATTAAGAATTTAGAGATCAAATTACGTATTAAATTAAGATTTAAAAATTATTCATGTCATTTTCTCCTTTTATCATTGCGCCCAAAACAAGGAGGGACAACAACGTGGGCAGCGGTTAGAAAGCGAGACAAATTTTGCTGCGGGAGCCGTACGATCTCTCGCCTGGTGGCAGCAGCAGGAGAAGAGAGGTGGGGCCCCCCGATCAGCTCCACCATCTCGGGAGGCAAGGGCCGAGATCTCTCAACTGCCCCCCCGTCCCATCCGACGTGGCCCCTCGCCCCTCCACTCCGACGTGGGCCCCCCCAACCCCACCCAGGCCCCAGCCGCGGGAGCTAGACGACAAAAGAGAGGAGACGCCCCGGGCGGGGGGAACCACAAAAAAAAAAAAGGAAGAGAGGAATTGCAGGTATCGCCCACCGCTGCAGTGCGGACAGTCCGTACGTCCCGCCACGTGTGTATCCGATCGGGGGGGTGGGGGGGGGGGGGGGGTGTCACGTGACGAGATCGTCCAGCGATCCCGCATCGCCCGCCACGTGGTCGGCGGATAAGAATAACATCCCCGGTGTCGCCGGGCCCCCTCCCTCCCTCC